TTGTCTCTCCCCTTGCCACACACACACTTTTCAAAATTCAAATTGTAAGTTCCTTGGGGCAGAGAGAGTTGTTTGTGTGTGTGTGTGTTTTCCCCAACTTTTATGTATACCGTCTTATTGTGAGCATGTGGTGATTTACAGATTAAAGGAGGACATAAATCATAGCATTTCCAGATCAGCTATCAACATACCGTATTTTTACTCAGTGAAAAAATTATGCAGCTTCTAACTTGAATGTTGCAAATTGCCATTTCTCCTGTGCTGCAAACCACTTTTGAAATTGAGACTTTTTTGCAAGCAGTTTCTGATGTAGCTTGGAGGACAGCTGCTCAAAGAAAAAATGCTCATTCCACTAAGTATGTTCAAACCGTGGGGCGAATTTTCTTTTGTCTTACTTGCTTTTCATAGTCATCCCCACCATGAGATGAGTACATGTTCCCAATTTACAGGTGGAGAACTGAGGCAGGCAAACCTGAGGCCATGTATTGAACAAAGATTCAACCTAAGTCTAATGTCCTTGCACAGCCATTTTCAAATTAAATAGCACTATGGAAAGAGCCTGTACATGATAAGGCTATGAACTATCCTCATGAGGGAAATGATGTCATGATAAATTTTGTCACCTAAAAACGGGCATGTGACTTGGTGCCTGGTAACTCTCTGATCAAATTTCCAGGCATTCAACACCAATGGAAGCTTCCCTCCAGGGACTAATAACAGCTTTGAGAGTGTGGTTTTTTTGTTGTACAGTGCTACTTCGGGTCACAGACTCCACTAACCTGGAGTTAGTACCTCAGGTTAAAAACTTTACCTCAGGATGAGAACAGAAATCGTGCAACATCGGTGCGGCAGCAGCGGGAGGCCCCATTAGCTAAAGTGGTATCTCAGGTCAGGCCCAGACAGGAGGCGGGGCATATGGGCCACTTGGCCTGGGCCTCCGGGGGCCTCGGACAGCATATTCACAATTGCAGAGGATTTATAAGACTTCAGTTATCCCCAGGGTAAAAAAAGGGGGGCACATTATCTGCCTGGCCTGGGCCTCTGCCTGGTTCTGCCTGGCCCTGCCTCAGGTTCAGAACGGTTTCAGGTTAAGAACGGACCTCTGGAACAAATGAAGTTCATAACCAGAGGTAGCACTGTCATTTTGGTAGGGTTGGCATATGCTACATCCCACCCCTGATAGCAGCTATTTACGTTCTTTAAAAGAAGCACATTTGTTGCTTTCATGAAATTAACATAACACATTGTTTGAACCACATAACTATTCAAATGAGTTCAGCCTGCTGGATGAAATTTCAAAGACTTTCAAGTATGCTTAAATCCCAGAGTAGTTAAATCCTTTACGGAGAGCAGTGGTGAGAGCAGTGGTGTCTCGGAATCCTCTTTGTGAAGGAATCTAAATAGCTGTTTGGTCCAAGTCCAGTTTAAGATCCCTAAGGAGGGAGACTAGGAGCCTTGAAGTTACCTACCAACAGTTAGTACCTGGTTAGCTGACTTACTAGGCACATGACACCTGTGTATGTATTGTATTTCCATGTAAAAATAAGAATAATTTTAAAATATGCATTTATACATATAAAATAGCATATGGAAGCAAATCCATTACTTCTTTTTTAGCAATGAATTTATTATGGGGGGGAGGGTATTAATGTTCACCCTGTTTTTTATGTTCACCCTGTTTTTCATTGGATTTCTGTAGCAGGATGAGACACAATTCATTAAGAGTAAAACTGTAAATTAGAAGGAACCATACACTATAACCGTGTTAACATAAGCACATAAAAAGAACGTGCTGGACCAAGCCAGCATTCTAGTACAGCATTCTGTTCTCCCAGAGGCCAACCAAACTGTATGAAATAGTCAGCCCAGCAGCTGGGATATAATAAAGACAAAAAGAAACTTTAGGAGAACAAGGCCAGAGGATTTTTCAGTCAGAGTCCTTTCTGATGCCTCAAAAATTGACCTGGACATTTTCTTTCTCAATGGGTTAATGAACCTGGGGGAAGCAGCTGGTTTTATACAATGGTGTAATGTGTCCTTGCCACACAAAAAAGCAACAGAAAAGTCACCTGCAAGCTTAATTCACACAAGGCTTCAATGTAGTAATTTGTTCTTAGTGATACATTCCTAGGGGCTTATGGCTGCTGGGTATGGTCTGAAGGCACAGGAGGTCACCATCTTGCTAAGTAGATCAGAGTCTGGGGCAGTGCCTGAATGGTGACCGCCTAGGAACCAGATGTATGCTTCCTTTGGTTCCATGATGGAAGAAAGATGGGATATAAACATAAGAAAATGCATGGTGACAAATGGTGAATCATAATAACTGGACAGGCCCTGGAACTGACAGGTGGCAGCAGATTAAAAACAAATCCTAACAACAACAACAACAACAACAACAACAACAACAACAACAACAACAACATCCCATGAACTTTATTGGCTCAAGTGGCCATTTTTATCACAACTAGTATAAACGTTTTTGAAAACTGAGTTGATGGAAGATACAGTTGGTACCCAGAGATGGACCAAATGCCAAAAGTGCATCTCCAGTTTGATCATTCTCACTAGAAAAAAATGTTGAAAAAATGTTGACCATTGATCTGGCCAATAATAATAATAATAATAATAATTTATTTATATCCCGCCCTCCCCAGCCGAAGCCGAGCTCAGAGTGGCTAACAACAATAAAAGTAACACAGTTTACATGTTAGTTCTTATGGATTATTTCCAAAGTTAGTCAGACATTTCAATAGGTCAGCTCTAAGTAGAACTTATTTGGACACCACCCTGTGTCTACAATGGCAGAATTATATGAAAAACTGATCCAGATTTAACAATATTCAGTACATTAGGATCCATGGGGAGGGCAGTCCTGGTATAGTAGAGAAACTGGCCTTAGATGAAGTGCATCTTCTGAGGCCAATTCAGTCCATCTTCTGATTGTTTAAATTATGAATGGGAGAGAGAGCCGAGGCATGTGCACTTTATACATGCATACATTGGGAGCCTATAGTGACTGTATATTTATGTAGTGCACACACAAATGTTAGGATCAAATTCTGGCTGTCACAGTTAGCATTCAGTAGTTCAATATGCTCAGTTTTAACAAATCAGGTATAAACCTTCCAGCTTAACTTGAGAGAAACACACTGTTGAAAAAATATGTTTGACCAGTGATCTGTAATTGGTGCTTACTAGCATTCAGTGTTTGGGGATTTTGCATGTGTTTATAAAATTTTCATGTTGTTGATCTTTTATTAATAGTATTATATAAGATTTGTATATTTACAAAAAATAATCATCAGATTTGTACTAAGGCTCTTCACAAGATTATAATATATGAAGGCACTCTCAGACAGGATATTTTCTACAAGCACAACACATCTCCCTTAGCCTGCTGCCTTTTCTCATCTTCTTTGTAGGGTACAAATTGGGACTGCCTTTTGCGGAGGTGGCCATTTTAGCTCCATAGCAAGAAAACAGCTCAGTTTAACCCTGGCTTTAAAAACATGGATCCGTTGTGACAGCTATAAAAACACATGGTAGAGAGAGCCTTGAGATGATGTGAGAAGAGTTCTATTTTATATACATCAGAGCACAGGGCAGGCTGAGACTAGAAAAGCTCTCCTCTGTTGTGAGAGAACCAGCAAGTTGCTTTCCAACTGTTCCCATAGGCATTTTTATATCTCAGCTGATCCTTAATGCATCTTGCCAGGCCCTGCGAATTAAATACACCCAGCTTATTTTATTCAGATCAGTGCACTTCAAAGCCATATCTCTCTCAGTAGAGGAAGGCTCTGCTCTATTAATGCCAGTCATGATGCCATATAGTCTCCTGTCATTTGGTGGAGACTAGACTTTTGCAAACACAGCACAGCCAGCCTTTGAAATCTGCACTTTTCTTTGCAAAAATGTGTATATTGGGGAAAATTTCATACAAACGTGTATATTAGAAGTGTACACTAAAATGCTGATGCATTTCCACAAGAACCATTTTATAAAAAAACAAATCAACCACTAATGTTGAGAAACTGAATTTAAGGCAGGAAAAATGAGAAGCTGAGAGAAGCCGAGACTGATAGATTTGCCCATCTCTCATTAGATCCCAGAACTAGACTACAGAAAAGTGGGGGAGAGAAATAGACAAACAAAAGAACCCCATTATTTTCAGGGCTTCAAAAAAGAAAGAAAGAAAGAGCCAGATTCAGTAAATCTGTAGTTTTTATTTTATCTGTGCCCTTAGTTTGCACTGACGTCACCCGCCTTCATTTGAATCTTTGATAGAGGAGGAACGCCTGTGACATTTATGCTCAGACTTAATCTTCATGATGGCGGAGGTGTTTGTGTCAAGAATGTGCAAAGGCAGGCTTTCACTTGAAAGGCCTTTACTGCAGGGGAAGGGGGAAATAAGTAATATGTTGCACAGGAAGACTTTGAAGATGGAGATGGCTTCTGTAATTTCCAAGGATTAGCACTGGATTAGCATTGCAGGCTTTTGCTGAGCTGCCTCTGGCTCCCCTGATAAGCAGGCGTCACAAAAGGCCTTTGCAACCCATGGAGTTGCCATGATAAGACTCTGCCATGGTCAGGCGACAAGCCATGTGATTGTTCCCATTGCCAGAAAGAATAGCACTGTGAAATTCAAAATTATAAATCACAGTTTTAATATCCAAAGGGTCTCTTTTTCAAACAAAGGGACATGATGTGCAGTGCCAGCGCTGACAATCCTTTCTCGTTTCAAGGTTGGGCTTTTGATGCCCCTTGCGACATCTCTAGAGTGATTCGTAAACTATCAAGCTGTCATAGAAATATCATGGACAACTATGTATAGTCTCAGGGCTAGGGCTGCCCAGCTGCTCCCACAAACATGTTGGACTCCATCAGCATCGTGCTTTTGTGGCCTGCCTGGCATTATAGTAGTTTTTCATGAATTGGTTATGGATAGGGATCCATTCAAATGAGCTGTGTTTTACTGTGGGTTTTTTGTGGGTTTTTTACAGGTAAAACTACCTTGGGGAAAGCAAGTGTCCTTCTGCCCACTGTACAACTAGTGACAGAACATCTCTTCCAACAAGGCAGCAAGAACTCCAAAGGCTCTTTAGACTCTTCCACTGTGTTGTTTTGTCTTACCTGAGTATTCGGGAAACAGCCACAATGAATTTCCTGCGAAGGCGCCTCTCAGATAGTAGTTTTGTGGCCAACTTGCCAAATGGTTACATGATGGACCTTCAGCGTCCCGATAATTCCACCAGCAATCCTGTTTCCCCAGCAACAGAGAGGAGGCAGCAGCCTGTACAGCAACCTGCTTCTGTTTCTTCTGGTACCAGCATCTTTAGTTCCATCTCCAGTGCCATGAAGCAGACCACGCAAGCAGCTGCGGGGCTCATGGAGCACACAGCAAGCCCTACCCCTGTAGTCCAGCAGAAACCCCAAATCCTATTGGTAATTGACGATCCGCACACTGATTGGTAAGTACCCATACTTTCTTACAGAGGCAGACAACACAATGAATTCCAGATATTTGTTAGACTACAACTTCCATCATCCATGAGCACTGGCCATGGGGACTGGGGCTGATGGGATTTGTGTTTTATTACTGTCAGGTGGTATATAAATGTTGTTAAATAAAGTAGGATTGATTTCCCTTCTTTTTCTGTAATGGGGGTGGGGTCCAATACCACCTGCTGTTTTCTCTACTAACCTGCTTCTGTGTGAATTTTATGCCTCCTGTAATGGCAACAGAGGAACGCTAGATGTCAGAATCTCATCACTGCTTCTCCTGAGGAACTCCAGACAGAGCTGTACAATTCATGTATTATAGAAATATGACACTATAGTGTTCAGGATTCTGACTGGGTTTGGCAATGGTTGAAAGTAATTAGAGTACAGGGTTTATTTAGTGATTCAGTATTGCAAATTAAAACCTAAACTCACTTTTTCTCTCTATGGACCTCCGTGCCTGTTGCCACCCATGCAGAACTAATTCCACAGTCTTCTTTAGCCACAAGCAAGAAGTCATTGGCATTCCTGCTTGTGACTTTTAGTCCTGGAGGAAACTAAAGAATGGAATGCCCCCCATCTCCGGCTCCATTGTTTTTTCTAGAGTAAACATTTCATTCACAGCTTTTCTTCATGGTTGATAGTCTGCCCAGAACATGCAAACATTCACACATTTCAATAGCTTGTTGCATCCAGACCAGAAGTTTTTTCAACCTGTATCTGACAGCACAGAAAGAGTGATGTCAGAACCACACGTCTGGACCTGTCAATGTTCAGAGTTCCACTTCCTGGGGACACTCCCCCCCAAAAAAGCTTTATTTAAATAACAAGATATAAAGAGCCTTGGCTCCAGATATGGATATGCAGCAAAAGGCTTTATTCCAAAAGTTGTGCACATGTACCTGGTTCTGCCTGTGCACCAGTCAAATGCTCAGCTTTTAATAATCTAGGGTACAGTTCATTTTTCCCCCCCAAGAGGGATACAACAGGCAATCAAACTAGTCAAGATCAAAGTGACAACCATGAAACTGAATCTATGCATCCAGGGCCCAGTCCTTCAACAGGAGCTACACATGCGTCTCCAGGGGTCATTATGATGACCCAATCTTGAGTAGTATATTCATAGAATCATAGAATCATAGAATCATAGAATCATAGAGTTGGAAGAGACCACAAGGGCCATCGAGTCCAACCCCCTGCCAAGCAGGAAACACCATCAGAGCACTCCTGACATATGGTTGTCAAGCCTCTGCTTAAAGACCTCCAAAGAAGGAGACTCCACCACACTCCTTGGCAGCAAATTCCACTGTCGAACAGCTCTTACTGTCAGGAAGTTCTTCCTAATGTTTAGGTGGAATCTTCTTTCTTGTAGTTTGGATCCATTGCTCCGTGTCCGCTTCTCTGGAGCAGCAGAAAACAGCCTTTCTCCCTCCTCTATGTGACATCCTTTTATATATTTGTACATGGCTATCATATCACCCCGTAACCTCCTCTTCTCCAGGCTAAACATGCCCAGCTCCCTTAGCCGTTCCTCATAAGGCATCGTTTCCAGGCCTTTGACCATTTTGGTTGCCCTCCTCTGGACACGTTCGAGTTTGTCAGTGTCCTTCTTGAACTGTGGTGCCCAGAACTGGACACAGTACTCCAGGTGAGGTCTGACCAGAGCAGAATACAGTGGCACTATTACTTCCCTTGATCTAGATGCTATACTCCTATTGATGAGGCCCAGAATTGCATTGGCTTTTTTAGCTGCCGCGTCACATTGTTGGCTCATGTCAAGTTTGTGGTCAACCAAGACTCCTAGATCTTTTTCACATGTACTGCTCTCAAGCCAGGTGTCCCCCATCTTGTATTTGTGCCTCTCATTTTTTTTGCCCAAGTGCAATACTTTACATTTCTCCCTGTTAAAATTCATCTTGTTTGTTTTGGCCCAGTTCTCTAATCTGTCAAGGTCGTTTTGAAGTGTGATCCTGTCCTCTGGGGTGTTAGTCACCCCTCCCAGTTTGGTGTCATCTGCAAATTTGATCAGGATGCCCTTGAGTCCATCATCCAAGTCGTTGATAAAGATGTTGAATAAGACCGGGCCCAAGACAGAACCCTGTGGCACCCCACTAGTCACTCTTCTCCAGGATGAAGAGGAACCATTGATGAACACCCTTTGGGTTCGGTCAGTCAGCCAGTTACAAATCCACTGAGTGGTAGCATAGTCAAGACCGCATTTTACCAGCTTCTTTACAAGAATATCATGGGGCACCTTGTCAAATGCCTTGCTGAAATCAAGGTAGACTACATCCACTGCGTTCCCTTCATCTACCAGGCTTGTAATTCTGTCAAAAAACGAGATCAGGTTAGTCTGACATGACTTATTTTTCAGAAATCCATGCTGACTATTGGTGATCACAGCATTCCTTTCTAGGTGCTCACAGACTGTTTGCTTAATGATCTGCTCCAGAATCTTCCCTGGTATTGATGTCAGACTGACTGGGCGGTAATTATTTGGGTCCTCTCTTTTCCCCTTTTTTAAAATAGGGACAACATTTGCCCTCCTCCAGTCTGCCGGGACTTCGCCTGTTCTCCAGGAATTCTCAAAGATGACTGCCAGTGGTTCTGAAATCACATCTGCCAGTTCTTTTAATACTCTTGGATGCAGTTCATCTGGCCCTGGAGACTTGAATACATCTAGACTAGCCAAGTATTCTTGTACTATCTCCTTAGTTATTCTGGGTTGTGTTTCCTCTGCTGAATCATTTGCTCCAAATTCTTCAGGTCGGGCATTGTTTTCTTTATCGGAGAAGACTGAGGCAAAGAAAGCATTGAGGAGTTCAGCCCTTTCTGTGTCCCCTGTTTGCATTTCACCATCTTCTCCTCTGAGTGACCCCACGGTTTCTTTGTTCTTCCTTTTGCTACGAACATACCCATAAAAGCCTTTTTTGTTGCTTTTAACCTCTCTAGCAAGCCTGAGTTCATTTTGTGCTTTAGCTTTTCTGACTTTGTGTCTACACGTGCTGGCTATTTGTTTGAATTCCTCTTTGGTGGTTTCCCCCCTTTTCCATTTTTTGTACACATCCTTTTTTAATCTTAACTCAGTTAAAAGTTCTTTAGATAGCCACCCTGGCTTCTTTAGGCACCTTCCATGTTTCCGTCTCATTGGTATTGCCTGAAGTTGTGCTTTTACTATCTCCCTCTTAACAAACTCCCAGCCATCTTGAACTCCCTTTCCTTTTAGTATTACTGTCCATGGGATCTCACCCAGCACTTCCCTAAGCTTTATGAAGTCGGCTTTCTTAAAGTCGAGAAATTGAGTCCTAGTATGCTTGGCTGCTCCTTCATAACAACCTGCTAGCCATGTGGTCGGTTCAGAAATGAATCAGCAGGAAGCATGACCAGATGAGCTTCTTTGCACATGTAAGTCATGTGCTCAAACTTTAATCGGGTCAGAACATCTGTGATTGGACTGGAGGGCAATAGTCTTGAACTGTACAACTTTCCAGCCATTTCCCCATGCTTCTTTTGTATAATCAACAGAGTTGGAAGGCTCATCTACAGTAGTCCAACCCCCTGCTGAAGCCTTCTACTTATAGCATCCAATATTACTGCAGCATCCCCATCATCAGAGCATTTAAATGCATCCTCAATATGTGTGCCATTGCACCCCTTTTCTCAGCCATGTAACAACAAACTAGATTTCAGGCTTTTTTGTAATCCTATGCAACTAATTCCAAATGCCAGGAGATTTAAGCACCACCTGCACTATACATTTAAAGCAGTAGCATACTGCCTTAAAAATCATGGCTTTTCCAAAAGAATCTTTGGAATTAGTTTTGTTAGGGATGCAGTCCCCAGGATTCTTTGGGGGAAGCCATGACTGCTTAGAGAAGTAAGACACTGCTTTAATTGTACAGTGCAGATGGAGCCTTTTCTTCTTCTTTATTCCTCCAATGGTACCCCATTGGGCTGTGTAGCAGCAAGTCATTTCTGAGATGCAAGGGATATTCAGAAGCAGTTTGTACTGAAATATAAAGCTGGTGTGCTGCCCTTGAATACAAATCACAACTACCCCCGGGTGCACATGAGTCCGCGGAAGTGAGGTGATTGGTGCTTTAGTTCCAAGGCAGTTTGTGCTATGTTCCTGGTTGGAAATAGATTTGTGGCAGGGAGCTTGTGGCACTCCTTAAATAAAGAATAACCTAGTTTTAGGAGCTCTGTGGAGTGCTTGGCTCAGGAAGAGGGATGCACCTTGTGCCAGAAAAATGGGGACTTGGCTTGTGTGTATGTGTGTGCTTCTGTTTGTTTAGGTAGAATTTTGGGGAAGATCCTTTTCTCCTTGTGACAGAAAGAAGAGGATGTTTGTTCATACTGTAGTGCGTACAGTCCGAGTGCACTTTTGGGTGACAGGTGGGGCAGCCTAGCCAGATTGTTCATTTAGTCTTCTCTTCCTGCTTGTCAAAACAAAGTAGTTTAGCTACCTAGAAGGCTGGTGTATCTAGCTGATACTGCAGAAAATTCCTTGCTTTTCTCCCTCAGGGATGTGCATTTTTGAAAACTGTTTAACTTCCCAAGGACACCTGTGGAAATGCAGAGTCCACAAACATGGGAAAGGATTGGCTGGTGGGTGGAGAGAAGACTATAGCAGTGTATTTATTCACAGTATGAGGACATGAGGAAACGGAGTGGCAGAACTCCATGTTACTGTAAGGCAGCCAAATCTGAACACATGACCTCATCCAGGAGGACCTCTGGCAACTTCCTTGCCCAAATCACTTCTAAGTAAAATCATGCTCTTGCTGGAGTGAATTTCTCAAATACAAAGTAGGGCTATATATTGTTAGCCCTTTCAGCAGCAAGAAAAGGCTGTGCTCCTTCAGTTTTGAGAGAGAGAGAGAGAGAGAGAGAGAGAGAGAGCGCACTGTCTCTATTGATACCACATTTTGAGACACGACGTATTACAGAAAATAAATATTTTGCATGC